GGACGTCCGCGCGGGTGCGAGCGGGCAAACGCGCGCGCCGCCTGCCGAGGACACCGGCATCGCGTATCTGTGCGAGCACAAACACGCGTAGTGCACGGAGACGCACGCACGCACGCCGACACCGCGTATGTGGGCAAACGCAAACACGCATGCTGCACGCAGACACACGCGTGCTCTCGTGCACACCGACATCGCGTATGTGGGCAAACACGCATGCTGCACGCAGACACACGCGTGCTCTCGTGCACACCGACATCGCGTATGTGGGCAAACGTAAACACGCATACTGCATACAGATACACACATCCACACATGTACACTGACATCACGTATGTGGGCAAATGCAAACACACATACTGCACACAGACACACGCATGTACACTGACATCACGTATGTGGGCAAATGCAAACACGCATACTGCACGCACACACATACACACACACCAGCATTGCATATCTGTGCAAATGCAAACACGCATACTGCACACAGACACACACATGCACACCGGCATTGCGTATCTGTGCAAACACAAACACGCATGAACACCCAATATCGCCTATCTGTGCAAATGCAACCACGCATGCTGCACGTACATGCGCAGATATCACGTCGTATCTGTGCAAACACAAACACGCACAATACACGCGGACTGCAAGCAAGTAGCCACAGACACAGATATCATGGATGACGGCTGTGCAGGCACAAACACACATGGTGCATGCATGCACACGTGCACGCATCCTATCTGTGCAAGCACACATAAGTGTGCACGATGCACGCAGATTGCATGTGTACACGCGTACGCAAACAGCACACGTCGTGGCTGTGCAAACACACCTAAACATGCATGATACATGCAGGCTGCAGACATGTACGCCGCTAGCACACATATCTGTACAAACACATGTAAGCATGCACAGTGCATGAAGACTGCATGTACACAGGTATCATACATCAACCCTGAGAAAAGACAAAACACGCATGACACACGCAGTCTGCCTGCATGCACACACACACACAGATAGCACACATGAAGGCCGTGCAAACACACAAACACGCGTGATGCACACCGACTGCATGCACGCACACACGTACACGGAGAGCGCACAGCTATGCAAGCACACACGTGCACGCACCATGCATGCCCATGGCACGCACGTACATAGATAACACACATCACCTCTGTGCAAACACGCACGATACATGCAAACCGCACGTGTGCACACAGCTAGCACGCACCACGGCTGTGCAAACGCAAACATGCACGATGCATGTCGCCAGCACGTGTGCACAAAGCACGCCTCGCGCAACCCCCCCCCAGGCGTGCGCATGGGGACACGC